CTACCACCAGCGTTACCCGGTTTTGTTCACGCTATCGTGTTTGTGTCACTCCGTGTTACTTTATGGTTGTCCAGTCAAAAAGAAACACGTGCATTGTGTTTCTAATCTAATCTCTCCTGGATTATTTTCAAGCTATTCCTAGTCAGATGCATGAGCGGGGCTTTTTTTTTTCATGTTTAGAGAGTTTAAAACGCAGAATTGTAATACTTTATTGATTCGGTTTTGAAGATTCCGTGCTAAATACTGCTAAAAGATTTTAAACTAGCAACATCACAACAGCTCCTGCTACAGCAGGCATGCTAGCACCTATTAGCAACCTAGCCGTGTGAACGTTAGTTCGTGTGGGTTTTCATGAGACTGCATTGCTAAAACAATGGACGATTCTGGCATCAAGAAGCAGAACTGGGACGTGAAGGAAACTGAGTTGTTTCTGGAAATTCTCAAGGAGCTGGACATGAAGAAGTGCTTAGACGGAAGGAAAGTGAGGAATAACAAACTGTTCAAAGTGGCACACAGGAGAATGACAGCGGCTGGTTATCACAGATCCGTGGACCAATTAAAGTTTCGCTGGAAACTTCTCAAAAGCGCATACTACAAGTGCAAGCGAGAGCCCGACTCCCCGGCCCCAACTAAAATACAGGGCTGGTGGCGCTATGAAAAGACGATGGTCGCTATTATGGAGTCCAGACACCCTCTGGTGGGACCCGGGGTTAACTCTGACAGAAACGACGAGGTGACAGAAGAGTCAGATGGCGAAGCATCAGTACTACACTGGCCGCAGCCCTGCACGGACAATACCACCCAGAACCTGGATTTAATTGTAGGGGTGATAACCGTGGAGGCGGTGTCGTATGTAATTTACGATGGCGTAGGAGGGCCATTGTAGGTATTAAAATAACTGAAATATGGCGCCTGGGAAGACGGAGATTAATTCCTTGGAAAGTCAAAATTTCGCAAAGTAAACGTGTCGGATATTCTAATTTAAAGATATAAACTTATGCAACTTTCAAAAGGGAAGACGTTCAAATATTCTGGCAGTATAAAGCCCTAAATTTAAAAGGAGAGAACCGGGATACAGTAATGTGCAAAAGTCTTGAGTCACTTCTCATTCAGTTATTTTGCTAGGAAAATGTGAAATGGGTGTGATGAATTATTGAGAAATCAAAGCATGCATGAAAATGCAGAATATAAGGCAAAAACAGTTTGTACAACTCTAACAAGCTTAAGTCTGCGTTCTCGTAACTCCTTTGTCTTCAAGAATAGATCTCCAGGCTTCTTGAAGGAAATGTTTGCTGCTTTTTGCCTCCGTTAAGATGATCCCACACTGCCTCAGTAATGTTGAAGTCCTGGGGAGATCAGTCCATGACTGATCACGCCCCATTGTCTTTTTTTTTCCCCATTATCCAGTTATGCTTTTACTGCATTGGCCATGTGTCTGGGCTTTTGACCTGTTGAAAAATGATGCCGTTGCCAGTCAGGTTTCTGAATAGTATTGCATGGTGGATCAAAATCTGATGGTATTATGGCAGTTTTGGCAAGATCAAAAACGCCACTGGCTGAAATGCAGCCCTAAACCATGACAGAACCTCCACCATGTTTTACAGATAGCTGTAGACACCAACTCTTGTACCTCTTTCTTGACCTCCTCTGGACATCATTTGAACCAAAAATTTCA